AGCCCCTCTGGAAAACAGTGTGGACGTTCCTCAGGAAACTAACAATAGAGCTCCCCTATGACCCAGCAATAGCACTGCTAGGAATTTACCCAAGGGATACAGAAATGCTGATGCATAGAGGCACATGTACCCCAATGTTCATAGCAGCACTCTCCACAATAGCCAAAACATGGAAAGAGCCTAAGTGTCCATCAACAGACGAATGGATCCAGAAGATGTGGTTTCTCTATACCATGGAATACTACATGGCAATGAGAAACCATGAAATCTGGCCNGAACTTAACGAAGGACCGTGGGGGAGAAGAAGGGGTAAATAGGAAAGGGAGAGAGGCAAACCATGAGAGACTCTTGAATGCTGAGAACAAACTGAGGGCTGATGGGGGTGGGGGGGGGGAAGGGGGTGATGGGCATGGAGGAGGGCACTTGTGGGGATGAGCACTGGGTGTTATATGGAAACCAACCTGACAATAAACTATTAAAGAAAAAGAAAAAAATTCCAAAAAAAGAAAGAAAATGTGGTATATACATAAAATGTAATACTATTTAACCATAAAAAAGGAATAAAGTTCGCATACACATTACAGCATGGATGAACCTTGAAAAGATCACAAAATTGAAATTATAAGATTCAGAATATTATGAAAGAACTCAGTCACTAAAGGCCACATATTGTATGATTCCGTTTGTATGAAACATCCAGAAAAGACAACTTTTCAGAGATATAAAGGAAATTGGTGGTCACCTAGGACTGGAGGAGGTATCTAAATGTTACAGGATCTCTTTAGGAGATAAAAATGCTCTAAAATGGATGGTGGCATATATCTGTGCCACACTAAAACCACTAAATTGTACATTTTAAATCAATGAATTTGTGGTATGTGAGTTATATCTAAATAAAAACATTACATAAAGAACCAAAAAGAATAGAGACATCACCTTGAAGGCAAGGCCTAGCCGACCGTGTAGTGAAGGAGAATGGCAGCAAAGAACTCTGAGCTACAGACAGGAGGAATTTACCAAAAGTGCCTTTTATTCTAAATTCAAGAGTTTTCTCCTTATTCTATATACCAGAGTGAGCAAACTATGACACCACCTGTTTCTGTAAATAAAAATTTATTGGAACACACACACACACACACCCCAAAAAAAATCTAAGCTGGATGAGAACCTAAATTTAGCCCCTAACAACTTCATCCCATTTCTCTTCCTGCCTCCGCCTCTGCCCTCAGTACATACATATGTTCATGTATGTACACATACACACACACACACACACTCCAGTCATTCATCATTTACCCGCAGGGCCTCTGAAACATCACGCCGCTTCCGGCACAGAGAGCTTTCCAAGTTCTCCTGTGACCTGAACCGTCAGCATCGCAGCCCCTGGGATGGTGCCCAGCCCTCCCCGCCAGGCCTCCGAGCCCCAGGGATGCGGCCGGGTTCCCGCAGCCCAGCATCCACTGTGCGCTCTGTGCTTTCCGAGGTGGGCGTTCCCGGAGGGCTGGGGCCCTGTCGTTTTCTTGGGACCCGTGGGAAACGTGCACAGGCAGAGCCAGTGTGTCACCTCCTGGGATATAGAAAGGATGCTCACGCTTGCGACAGAGACAGAACGCAGAATGAGGGGGACGACGGGGTACCCTGCACTCCATGGGCCCGGGAGGGGCAAGGCCAGGCCCCACAGATGCCCAGCGAGCATCAGGGCAGCATTAGGGCCATGAGGAAGCACATGCGAGGGTCCCCTAGCTCCTGACCTGGGAAGTGTCAGCTTTCCCACACGCACAGAGACAGGATTCACGAGAATCCCACGCTTTCCTGTCCCACGGGTCTTCTGTAAGCAGCTGACGCTTCTGCACAAAGAACAGAGTGGACTCGGGAAAATGCAGCTCTGCTTAATGAAGTTCGGGAGGTGGTATTCTAAAACCTTAGTCACACTTGCTAAAGGTAAGTAATGAGTAACTGAATCAAGGCCGGCATCTGGGAGGGAAGCTTCGAGTGCAGATGCGGTGCTTTGTCCTGGGGAGAACTCGCCACAGGACACCTGTCCAGGGAAGGGTGTCAGGCTGTTAGTGACTTCCCAAGGAGGACCTCAGAAGAGTGACCGTGGGTAACCACAAAGGCATGAAAGAATATTTACAAGGTTCCATCTACACCTATGCGCCCATCAAATTGTGCCCGTAGACGAGAAAATAATTCAGCAAGTGCCGCTTTAAACATGGTTTGCTTCTGAAAGGCTTGAAATGTCTAGAAACTCCTCTCTCCAAAGTGTGGGGCCTCAACAGTGACTCACATGCTGTGCTCTCCCCGGACAGGAAGTGTTTTCTGACCAGGAATAAAGAGTGTGGGCGAAAGGGCAGCATAATCTGCTGGAAAGTCAGGCTAACAGCAAACTCAAGAAGGCAAAGGCAGGCCAGAGAAGCAGGCTGCTGGTCACCTCCTGTGACCCAGCCACATCTGAGTTGCAGGGGCCGCGGCTGTGGGACGCAGTACTGACCATGCACAAACATTACTAATGGCCCCAGATGTTTTATTCTGCATTAATGAAAATGTAATTCTGACCGAGAGCCCCTAGCTTTATTCAAGAAAACAAGACACTCTGGGAACAGAAGGTGCTAAGCCAGCCCTCAGTGTTCTGTCCTCAAGACGTGGGGGCTGGAGGGAATACGCCTCCCCCTGCATGGTAAGGGCCCCGGGGTCTCCCAGGAGCCAGGGCGTAGTGAGGACCCGGCTCACCCATCAGTGTGTCCTGACTTGTCACTCTAAACTCAACATCTGCTCACTGAAATCACCGCCGATCAGCCACCTGACTACCGCAGTGGGTTTTACAACCTTAACGTCCATAGCATTCACCTGGGGAAGGAACCGTATTTACTCACCTGTGTTTGTTCCAGAAAATCACATTTGCTCATTAACTTTCCATGTAACCTTTAACCTATGAGCTATGACCTTTTACGGGTCCCAGACCCAATTCCAAAGTGAGGAGTGGAGTCACCCCCAACACCAAGCAATTCTCAGATACCAGCCAGAATTCGGCTCGCTTCTGACGCCTTCTACCAGAGACAGACCCCACACACAGGTGATGGGCTCAGTCCCCAGCACAAACGCCTCCCCCCACTTCAGACAGCAGCCACAGCCCCCGGCGGTCACTCTGGGGTTCTGACACCCTCCTCCTTCGGTTTCTTTTAATTCGCTAGGCGGCTCACAGAACTCGGGGAGACCCGTACAGTCCCATTCATCAGTAAAGGACATGGTGAAAGAGACGAGCTGGCCATGCTGGGAGGGGGGCGTGGAGCTTCCCGCCTCGCCAGGGCCTGCTGTCCCCCATCTCCACGTGCTCACCAACCGGAAGCTCTCTGGAGCCCATCCTCTGGGTTTTTAATGGAGCCGGAGGTGGGGGGTGGGGGTGAGACTGGAAGTTTCAACCCTGGAATCACAGGGTTGGTGGCCGTAGCAATCACTCCTGGTCCCCGCACACCAGCCCTGGGGAGGGCCTCAAGTCCATTAACATAACAAAAGGCACCCTCCTGCCTTCTATTGATGCAGAGTCCCTGGGTTTGGGGAAGCCTGGAGCCCGAAGCTGAGGACAAAGACCACATCCACAGGAGAGATTCAGGTCATCCGAATGACCAGATGTGCACGTCCTACAAATCACAGTAGGGCCCGCGACTTTTATGTAGGACGATCAGCTCCGCCAATAGAAGCACTCCCTATATACCGTCCTGAAGTGAGAAGGACCGTCCGTTCTCCCCCTGCTTCCCCTGCAACAGAACATTGTACAAACTCAGTCCAGTCTCAAGTTCACACAACACTACGCCACAGAACCGCGTAATCGCCAATCCGTCCAGGGCCCGGGTCCGCACTCCACGTGGCCATTGCTGGAGGCTGGGTTGCCCGGCGCTCTGGGAAGCAGGGCCATGGGGGCTCACGGGGCAGGTGGGCTCAAGGTCAAGGAGAGCCACGGAAACAGGCAGGAGGTCCAAGGCCTGGGGGGACACCCCCCCACCCGGGGCTGGCTGAGCGTGTGGGTCACTGAGCAGGTGCAGATGGGGCGCCCCCCTGCCGGGCCCACAACAAACCCATAGTAGCGGGTGCCCTTGTGTCTGGGAATGCATCCCCCCAGTGAACCTCTCCCAAACCCTGCCCGCCGGTCATCACAGGTCCCCCTTTGCAGACATCCTTCCTTATGAACCTGAAACCACCCCCTCTAAACTTCCACAAAGCAGCCGGTGAGCCCGGGAGGGCTCCCAACGGGATCAGGGTGGGCTGACAGAATGCTATTCTCAGATACAAATGCCCTCAGGGGTGCTGTGTGCAGGGCGAGGGGGGGGGTCCCACGGGGGATGCTGGAGACCCCCATGACAAGGATGGGGACCATGTGGGGAGTGCTGGGGGCCCCCGAGGGGAGTGAGGAGTCCTGGGGACCCCCCTGAGGAGCACCAGCAACTGAGCTGCAAGATAATCTCCGCCAAGGGGCGGGGAGGTTCCGGGAGCTTCTGCAGAAGGGGCTCCTTCCCATCAGGACGAAGGCACAGCTCTGGGCTGAGAGCCATCAGAGCTCGCTCTTAGGCACAGGTGGCTCCGATGTCCGGGCCTCGCCACTCCCCAGCTTCTCGGCCGACACTCCCCGCCTCCTCGCACGGCTGGGACCACCTGTCCCGTCCTCTGCACCCCGCCGCTGCTGGGCCTTCTGATAGCCAGACACGGACGCACCTGCTCAGACGTCCAGGGCGCCCAGTCTTACTAGCAGAGGCCTTCAAAGAGCTCCCCCCGCCCCCCAAAATAGGGCTTCGGTCCCCTGGGCCGCCGGAGGCCTTGCCTGCGTTGGAGCCCTCGGGGCTGCAGCCGGTCCCCACCTCTGTCTCTGGGCCGCGACCTGGCTTCTCACGACAGGACTCCAGGTCTGCAAGGGAACCCCGTTTCCCGGACGCGGCACACGGGGCTGAAGCCGCGTCCGGCCAGCTCCTCCTGCGCCGGGCACGCGTGAGGGCCCCCGACACCAATACCTTGTCCCAGGACGCCAGCGAGCGTGGGCTCTGCGGTCCCTGGTCCCCTTTCGCCCGTGTCCGCACACCCGGAGGACGGCTGGGCTTGCCGGTGCTCACAGGAGGCGCAGGGCTAGCGCGGACCTCTGGGGAAAGAGCAAACGAGGTGTCAGGGCTGCCGTGTTCCATGAGGAGACCCGGCCGCACACACCCATCACACACAGGTTAACGCCTCCTGCGCTCCACATGGGTCAGGAGTCCTGTGCCCGTGGGCTCTGCCTGGGGTGGGGGTGGGTGTGCTGTTCGTATTCTGTGTCTCTTTCTTCTCTTCCTCACCCAACATGGTGTCTCAGAGGTAAACAAACACAGGCCAAGTCAGGCAAGTCCACGGCCTGAGCTCCCGTTCACGACCTGGCTCGGAGGGCCCTCGCTGTCCCCTGCAGGGCTCAGGGCAGACGAGATGAGGGTCAAGGGCTCCCGAATCAGGGCGATGGGGACAAAATGGCGGGAACCACAGTCGAAGGGACCAGGCAGGGATTTGCTGCGCAGACATGAAGACCAGGAAGACGCCCCAAAGTTTACAAGGCACGACGCTCCCACACGAGGGCTCTGGGGGTGCCCAGTCCGGCCCGCTCCCAGCTCGCAGCCAGGCCCGCGCCCACCCACCTCCGTGTGCCTGGAGCAGATGGAACATGCATTAGAAACAGGGACAGGGTGGGGCGCCTGGGTGGCTTAGTCGGTTAAGCGTCCGACTTTCGCTTAGGTCATGATCTCGTGGTTTGTGGGTTCGAGCCCCACGTCGGGCTCTGTGCTGACTGCCAGCTCAGAGCCTGGAGCCTGTTTCAGAGTGTCTCCCTCTCTCTCTGACCCTCCCCTGCTCACGCTGTCTCTCTCTCTCTCTCTCCTAGAAATAAATAAAAATATTAAAAAAAAATAGGGACAGGGTGCCAGACAGACCCCCCGAGGCCAAGTCAGCAAACCAGGGCTTCACCCCCAAGCTAGCTGCAGTCCCAGCCTCCTCCACAGACACGGTCCTGGGGCGCCTGGGGCGCTCAGTCGGTCAGGCATCCCACTCTCGCTTTCAGCTCAGGTCATGATCTCACAGTCTTGAGTTCAAGCCCCTTGTCGAACTCTCTAGGGACTCTCTTTCTCCCTCTCTCTGCGCCCCTCCCCTGCTTGCGTGCTCTCTCAAAAATAAGTAAACGTTAAAAAAAAAAAAAGTGCCAGATGCTTAACCAACTGAACCACTCAGGCGCCCCTCGTGGCTTTTTATTAAGTACCTAATCTCTGCCACATGCACTCACTTTTTTCCCCTTGCTAAACCCGATCTACTATATTGAATTCCCTGCCCAAGAACCTGTAGTTTGCAAAACACCAATCTAGGGCAGGTACGTCCCCCTGGACGTTTTGACCCAGGCTGCAGTCTGTCTGCGACGTGAAGCAGGTAGGAGACGGGGCCACAGCTTTCTAAATGGTGCGGACATTTAAATTCTCCTCTCACAGGGCTGCCGGAAATCCAGAAGCAACTGGTGACTGGGAGGAGACACAGGGAGCGAGCAGGAAGCTGAATTAACATTGGCCTTCTTAATGGAAAAGAGAGACAGACAGACAGACACGGTGTCTGCTCCTCTGTCCCAGCTGACAAGGTTTAAGAACCGGAATGCTCTTTCCTTACCTGCTGGTGGCCTCTCGCCTCTTCTGCCTTCCCCTCCCCCTCCCGCTTCTGCAGAACCCGGGGTGCGGCCTCCAGAACTGGCTCCCATACGGTCCTCAGTGCCTCAGCCACCACCAGCTCCTCCTCCCACCTCGAGGTCAAGGAGAAGAGAGCACCCCCTCGGCCCCACTGGCGTCCCAGGTAAAAACTGACAATGGGGAAAACCTGATTGAGATTTAAGTGGATGGAGGTGAAACATTTGTTTAAGCTAATTTCAGTTTGCTGGTTTAATTAAGATAGGCCTGTCTTTAAGGGCTCCTGGGTGGCTCAGTAGGTTGGGCGTCCAGCTTCGGCTCAGGACGTGATCTTGCAGTCTGTGGATTTGAGCCCCACATCAGGCTCAGTGCTGACAGCTCAGAGCCTGGAGCCTGCTTCACATTCTGTGTCTCCCTCTCTCTCTGTCCCTCCCCTGCCTGCACTCGGTTTCTCTCTCTCTCTCTCTCTTTCTCAAAAATAATAAACATTAAAAAAAATTATTAGGGGCACCAGGGTGGCTCAATCAGTTAAGTGTCAGCCTTCGGCTCAGGTCATGATCTCACCACCGGTTAGGTTCAAGCCCTGCACTGGGCTTGTGCTGACAACTCAGAGGCTGGAGCCTACTTCGAATTCTGTCTCCCTCTCTCTCTCTGCCCCTCCCCAACTCACACTCTATCTTTCTCTCAAAAAAATGTAAAAAAAAATTTTTTTAAAGATAGGCCTGTCTTTAGAGTTATCAGCATTAAATATGAAACTTTGATTCTACCAAGGTTGACTAAAGGTCAAATAAGCTTCTGCTCTCTGTTGCAATTTTTTAGCAAAAAAGATAACTTAAAATGATGGTTAATTTTGTGTCTCAAAGTTTTCATAGGCAACTGTTAAGATAGCTTTCTAAGTCTCTGGTAACATGAAACTTTAAAGTTTTGCATGAGAGGGTCAACTGGGTGGCTTAGTCAGTTAAATATCCGACTCTGACTTAGGCCATGATCTCGCAGTTCGTGCGTTTGAGCCCCGCGTTGGGCCCTGTGGTGACAGCTCAGAGCCCGGAGCCTGTCTTGGATTCTGTGTCTCCCTCTCTCTCTCTATCCCAACCCTGCTTGTGGTCTGTCTGTCTGTCTTATAAATAAACAGTAAAAAGATAAAGTTTTTGCACGATAAATGGGATGAAACTCATTGGACATCTGGGTCTTTCCCACATAGAATGGGGTGCCAAAGCTTTGATTACTGAATGTAGGTTTGCTCTTTTAACTTCTTATTGCAGAGAAACTAAGGCCATTTGCGTGTATTGGAAAACGTGCTTTGTGCTTAATTGATTCATGAATTTAGCACCTAAAAAAATTCTGGTGCAACAGTCCTCAACTGGAGACTAAGGTTTCTAAGAGTCAAAACGCTGCTAAGTATACTTAAGACTGACAGAAATAAGGAAAGGGACTCTGTACGAAGGAAAGCAGGAGGTATGTGAGAAAGATCTAACCAATGGAAATACACTTTTTGTTGAAGTAAAGCAAGGTAATTTTGTCCTAAATGGGACTGGTCGTTTGGAGAGAAATGGCTTGGGACAACATATGAAGGCAAAGGAAAGTTGTAGAAGGTTCGAGAAGGGAAATCTTTGAAAAGGAATTTCGTGTGTGGTTGGGAGGGACTAAGGTTGAAATGAATGGATTTTTAAAAGTACACTTGTAGAAGGTTAAAATTCTGCTTTTCTCTCTGTTCAAAAAAGTGTTCTTGGACTGTTGATCTGCTCTTGATAAGAAAATGTAAATAAAGGTTTTGGTGTTTGTTTTGGTTTTCCTGCCGGGAAAACCAAAGCTTTCTGTTTCATCTTTTTCAGGTCTTTGATTACTTAAAGTTAAAACTTCTCACTGGTGAAAGAGCCGGGTTTTGCTAACAATTATATAATGCCACATATTTGCTTTGGGAATCTCTTATTCCCACCTTGGGTAAATAAATAAAGTTTTAAGATGTGTAATGCTGTGTAATCCTATTTCGGATGTGTTCATTAATTTTCTAAGGTTTTAACAAACTTCCTGGGGGTTAACCTGTACATGAACCTTTTTGACCAATTAGGCCTTTTTATTTGGAATGCTAAGTTACTCGGAAAAGCACAGTCGTGCAATGGTAAACCCTAGGTTGTGCTGCACAGATAAATATTGTAGCTGCTCAACTGTAGATGCAATTCCTAAAGTTTTAACGTTTTGGTATAAGGTCCTCACTCGATATTCTGACTATTGAAGTGTTAGGTTGTCACAGAAATAACCAAATTCCCATGTCAGTTGCCTCATAATGAACTCTCATCAGATCTTTAACAATGTCCATTTCTGAGCTGTTGTCATTTATAACTGTTCCTATTCTCTCACAAAATATATTCCATCTTCAAGGAGATTCATGAAAAGGACTTTTAGGATAAATACAGGTATCTGACATCTTTGAGATTAATACTAAAACAGGTAAGAATTCCAGAACTAAAAAGCTGCATTCAGGGGTGCCAGGGTGGCTCAGTCAGGTGAGTATCCGACTTCGGCTGAGGTCATGATCTCACCGTTAGTGGGTTCAAGCCCCACGTTGGGTTCTGTGCTGACAGCTTGGAGCCTGGAGCCTGCTTCAGATTCTGTGTCTCCCTCTCTCTCTGCTCCTCCCCGGCTCACGTTCTGTCTGTCTTTCTGTCTCTCTCTCTTAAAAATAAATAAAACACTTTAAAAAAGAATTTAAAAAGTGCATTCAAACTCAACAAGAATTAGGAACTTGGGACTAAATGAACTGAGAAAAATGAGCGTTTTTGTGACTCTTATTTGAAATATTGCTTGTTTCTAATGTTTGCTCTTCCCGATTAAGGAAACTTTTTCTTAGGACGTGTAAGATAGACAGAGATGGCATAAATTGTTCGTTTGTAAATTGGGGAGGTTTAACTTTCCTCTCTCCCTAAACCCTCTGACATTCAAACAGTCTCAGTGAGTGTTCTTTCCTTCACGGCAATTACATTGTTTGCCTAAGTTCAATAAGAGCCTGCTCATCTTGTCACAGGTCACCACTGGAAATACGGGTTATTCTACTGAGGCTCTGACTGGAATGTCCTATTTGAGACCTGCATGGACTCAGATGTGAGCAGACGGCTCTAAGGAGCTAAGGTCGACTCTGTGAAACACGGGCCATAAAGCCCCTTGGAAATGCTGGCCTGACACCTGCTTCCGGAGCTTCCAGCAGCCTCCCCAGGGGAGTAAGGAAGGTCCCTTCCTGGCAGGTGTGGGACCTCGGGGACCTCGGGATACCTCGGGGACAGGAGCCCGCCCACTTCAGGATCGCAGGCCTGTCTGAGGGAAGTACTTGGCTTGGCACCCGGCCTGGAGAGGCTGCTAAGAGTTCAGTCTGGAGAATTCTGTATCAAAGGTTCCAGCAAAGCCAATTTTAAAAGATCCGTATGATCAGCTGCTGTTCTTGCTGCACTTGGGTAAATAATCA